ACTCTAATGTTACTTCCTAGTTGATAATACCTTACCTAAAAAATTGACAACAATTTTTAATTTTGTCTATATAAATATACCCACACAAAGAAACATATACATATGCTCTAAGTGTGTGTAGTACAAAATGATGTTGTGATATATGTACACCTTGGGGAGTTATTACCTGAGTCAAGGAAATTAACATATACATCATCTCACATGGTTACCTCTGTGTGTGTTAAGATTATCTAAAATATACACATTAAAAATGTGCCACTGATATTTTAAACAGGATGATGTCATGAAAGGCCCATGTCAGGGAAAAAAATTTTTAATAATTTATTGAAAAAATAAAAAAATAAAATTTCTGTCTTACATTAAAATGGATAAGTTACTTTTCAAAGTCACCAGAGTAATTTCTTCAAAGCCTTCTTTCTTTCAAGAAAATTTCAAAATCTTAGGTGGGTATTCCTTCCCTGAGGTTCTGTGGGTTAGATTCTATTCATCTTTATTAATCAAATTTTTAATAATTAACTTTTATGTGCCTGCAAACCATATTGAAGATAGAAACTAGCTGACCCACTGGATCTTTGGTACTTAGCACAGACTATAACAGTGTCTCAATCAAAGTTTTCTTTATCAATAAATGATAGTAGCGATATTGGCTTCTACCTAGCAATGTAAATATAAATAGCATTATGGGAGTGAGATGATATTTTCATGATGTTAAGTAAAATAAAAATGTAGCTCATTATCAATTGAGAAACATGCCTTAGAGAATATATATACGCGTACACATAGTAGGAATTCATTCATTTAGACGGCATTCATTTGAAATTTGTAGCCAATAAATAAAGACTGGGAAGCTATATCTGCTCCATGAGGAACTGTTTGTTAAGTAAATAACATAAATTTAGAAAAAGACTGCGTTAAGCTACTTTGGGAAAACAGCTGTATTTTAGAACGTAAAATTCTTCAATTATTTGTATGTTTAATTCATTGCTATTGAAAAATGATTCTAACCTGTTCATTACTCTCCTTTTGCCAGAGCTTCCACTTACAAGCAGTAATCATGGCTCCTTGAAATTTCAAAAGCATTTCCATGTCTACAAAAATATTGCATAACCCAATGTTCACTATTAAGGCTTTGTCTTCTCTTTTGGTCTCAGTTGGTATATTACAGGCTCTCATGGTACTCAATTCTCACTACTATTAGAAAAGATAGCATGTTTTCCTTACTTATTTGTAACATACAGTCATAATTTAATATAATTAATAAAAGAAGCCAGCATGCTAACTTTTCTAACAATGAGAGAAATCAAGGGTAAGGAGGGAGTGGAGGATCAAATAGAACAATACCTATAGCTAAAATTGATGGAACCTACTGAATGAATAGACAACGAAAGATGAGGATAAGGATGGTGCATATAGCTCCAGGGTTTTTGGCTAGGATGACAGAGTGAATGATGGCTGTCATTCTAAATCACAGGACAACAAGAAGAGAAAGTAGGTTGGATGAGACGGTTCCTGACCTAATGGATTCATCTTTGAGCTTTGATGAGGTCTCACTGGGTAGATAGGGAAAAGTCTCCAGTAGATAATGATAAAGACCACTCAGGCCTAACGGTGTTTTCATTGCAGATAAGAGTCTGGGAGACATCATTGTTTTACTAGTAGTTTGAGTTATGGAAGTGTATAAGGTCACTCATGGAGAGCATGGTAAGAAGAGAATTAAAGGCGGATCCTTAGGAATCACTGATATTTAGTAGTTAATAGGGAATAACCAGTAAATAAGACTGAAAAGGGAGCACAGAACAATAGTGGGAAACCAAGGACACAGCAAAGAAGGAAAGACTTTCAAGAATCAGTAGGTATAAATCATGATATGCTACAGGTGATCTTTCTGTAGAGCCATTTCATTAGAAGGGTAGGAAATGTCTGAGTAGAAGGAACTAATGAAAGAGAGAAGAAAAAAAGAGAGATTTTCAGTTTCCAATGTCTTACTGACAATTTTGTTTAGTCTCATTATACTATCATGTTTCTTACATGAGACAATCAGTTTCAAGTGACACTAAATCCAAACTCACAAATTATACAAGTACTACTACCAAGAGAAACTTTTAGTGTATGGCAGACATCTGTAGTTTCCTAATAGTTAATATTACTTCATTTATATTAATCATTGGCACCAATGTTCTTTTCTGATGCTTTGTGTATACTGGGATTCAGATCATAATGTTTCCTGAAAGAGTGGCATTATGGTTTGGATCTGAGGTATCTCCCAAAAGCTCATATGTTAGACAATTGCAAGAATTTCCAGAGGTGAAAATGATTAGGTTGTGAAAGCCTTTACCTACTCAGTGGATTAATCCAATGACCATGGGTTAAGTGGGCGATAAATGTAGGCAAGGAAGTGTGGTTGGAAGAAGTGGGTCACTGGAGGCATGCCTTTGGGGTTTATATTTTGCCCCTGAGTAGATCTCTCTGCTTCCTTGTTGTCATGTCCTGAGCATGTTCTTCTGCCAAACCCTTCTATCTTTATGTTCTGCCTCAACTTGAGACCAGGACAATGGAGTTGGCCATCTGTGAACTGAGACCTCTAAAACCATGAGCCCCAAGTAAACTCCTCTTCTATGTTGTTCTTGTCAGGTCTTTTGGTCCCAGCAGCAAAAAAGCTGACTGGAACAGGTGGCATTCATGATCAATACATAAGACATTAACTTATTATTAATATTTTTGACTATATTTGCTGTATGTATCCTGGATTCAATTCTTTTACTCTGGTTCAAGCCAACAAATGGGTTGATAAATTTTTAGCAACCATTCCATTTGCACTATTCTGCATAATGACTTCTTGCATTCCTTCTAGCCCTAGACCAATTCTAGGTCAGCAATAAAAAGTTAAGGCCAGAAAAAGAAAGGCTTTGCATTCTAGATGCAGTTCAGGCTTTTCTGATGCCTCATTTCTTGTAACGATAATCTAGTTCCTTTCTGAGCCCCCATTCTTCCACATTGTTTAATTGTGTCTCGGATTTTCTTCTCTCCTACAGCTGAAATTTCAGAAGTAGTTTAAAACAAATAATCTCAGAAGCATTTTTGTTTACCTATATCTAGAAAATTTTAAATTTTCTGGGGTTATTTTTAATGAAATTTGATATTCTTAAAGTAGAAATATATGCTACTTCTTACAAATTCAAAATAAGCTAGCAAGCACTATAATTATTTTTGATTTAATATTTTTATTGTAAATTAATTTTAGGTAAATGTGATTATTAAAGTATCCCTTAATTTATTTGCACTGACACAAGTGGATCTCGGAAGACTATAAAGACTTACTGTCGATAAATCATGAAAAATAATTATTCCCCCACAACACAGAAATGAATAGCAAAAGAGAACTTATTTGGCCATGTTTAAAATCAAGAGATTTAATTACTTTCGGGCAAATGATTGATAAGCAGACAAGTAAATGGATACCTTAAAAATATGTTTACCTCTAAAATATAGTGTCAGTATAAACTTCCGTATTTTATTCTCTTTGTAAGCCCACTTTCAACTGTTTTTTGAACAATTATTCATTTGAGCAATGTTAGGTTTTTATTGTGAGGATAACTTTTATAATGTTCTTGGGATTTTGAGTGTGAAATTTAGTATTATAAGTAAAATATCTAAATAATTGTCTTCACCTTTTTTTGCTCAAACATCTATTGGGATGTAGTAATTTCATTCCAGAACTAAATAGCTATGAAACCTAGAAGGCTGTGAGTTTTGCAGCTTATTATTACTATTAAACATGTAGCAACATTAGATTAGTCATATGTTAATGCCATAGTATGCATTATAGTTATAAAGTATGCAAAATAAAATCACTTGTGTGTTCACATAAAGGGATAGACCTGATCATAAGCTTTTCAGTACAAAACTTAGCAGCATCTCTTATGAATCAGTTTTCTTTCTGTCATGTCATCAGAGGTTCAAATAGAGAATTTTGAAATATATTATACTTGACATAGTTTAAATAATAGAGTAGCTTTTTATTAGTTTCCTTAGAGACCCATTCCAGATTTGGGAATGCATGTGAGTTTTGTTTTCACTTATAAGTATACCTCCACATTTGACAAAGGACCTTTCCAGAAACAAGCTACGTAATCTTTTAGCACCAGTCTGTGAAAGAAAATTGATAATAAAGAAATACCTCATTACTTTTGAGATTTTTATATTGTATATATGTAGCTTGGTAACTGAGTCCTATAAAAAGATGAGTATTAACTGAATTTGGTATATCTGTCATTGCCCCCTTGCCAAAAATCTGTGGAATAGTTTGTAATTGCCATTGTTTGGGTTATTACAAAAACCAGAACTGATAAGGCTTAGCTGTTTGCCTAGTGTGCTTCACATCACTCTGGTGAATTAAAATTGCATTCACATATCTTTGCTTATCAGGTTTATTTATCTGTCAGGGATTGAGAAAGGCAGTATGCTCTCAGTATGTGAAACCTTATAACAAGCGGGTTGGAATTGTAACAATTACTTTAATGTTATAGTGCAAATGAATGAATATATATATATATATATATATATATATATATATATATATATATAT